TTCTATATTGACAACGCATTTTGTTAATTAAATTTGCATTTATCCCTTCCAACTTCTCTATGGACTCTCTTAATTGAATCAGAGTAACATATGATTTTGAAGTATTAAGTAAGGAAATCCTGGTCAAATAATTAATCACAAAACAGCATCTCAAAAATTGGCATGGGATTTAATTAAAAGACCATGATTTAGAGGATATACTTTTACGTTCAAAGCTTGACTGTGATAGGTGACGAAATTTCACGTCCAAAACATCTTTATAAAAATTGTAAATATAGTGTTACTCTAATCAAATTTATACTATTTCAAACATCTTTATAAAAATCAATTATTACAACTTAAGGGAAAGATTGTTTATAATTTTCAAATTAATTATTTGTAATTAGATTATATTATATACACAAGGATACTGTTATATGATTTAAAAAAAAAATCATGGAACAAAATATGAACTTATAAAGATGAGAAAAGAACATAGAGATGAAAAATATATGGTGGCATATTGCTAGGTGTCCAGACGTATTGTCGTCGATGGAAAAGGAACTGACCTGGCATCAAAATTGGGTGCCACAGATTCAGAGCCAAACAAAATCAGATTTTATATAATTTCTCTATACGTGATCATCTGTACAAATGTCTATTGTAATCTTAAGGAATCATACAATCACACATCAATCAGTAATAAGGGCACACTGTGATAAACCAGTACAGCTAAAGGTTGCGACAAGGGGAAACCATATGAGTGGTAGAGGAACCAGGCTCCACCCAGGGCAGCCGTTTCGGTTTGTGAAAGAAAACGACAGTAATACTCTTTGACAGTATTGTAACTTAGCAAATTTTGCCACTCCATGTATATAAGAATTATTATAAAATGATCACCAAGTTGGAGAAACTGTAGAGGATATCAGTGTTGTGTCCTTTTTTCTACTCTCTTCCCCTTCTGGTTCGAAAGGGCATGGACTGCTCCTAGCAGAGAAATTAATGGACGTGTAATACACACCGTTTAAGTAAAAGGTACATATGTCTTTTCTTGCACTTTGCATTGGTGATTTCCTCGTTTATATGATAAAGTTGGACTGCGAAATGTTTGATTCCTTACTGATCGAAGTTCCTTTTGAGAGAATGTTTAATAGTTAAAATGTTCAACATTCTTGAACTAATTATTACATTACCATTTGCAATTTAGTAAAAATATTTACTTGATGGTTTTCTTGCGCATTGTTGTAGCTTGTTATTATGCTATCTCACAGTCTGAAAATTGATAATCAGTGAACTTAATTTCATGAGCAGAGTGGGGCTTCTTCAAGCTTGTAGACCCATCTCCAAGATCTAGCTCTTTGTTAAATCTTCTATCTTACATATTATATGAATTACTAATTAGTATTATAATTCAGTGTAGTTTTTGTTTGTTGCTTATAATTATTATATATTTATTTGCTTCATTCATCATGCATAGAAAATTAATTTCCTACTGTCATTTACATACACGAAATTATTCAGTCAGAAACGGTGCCGATGGCAAACAAAAAAATTAAGTACGTGTTAAGGAATGCATACTCTGTTGTACAACTACAACACCACGCGTACTCCATTTTAAACCCCTTCAAATAAAGACAATCGTAATTTGTCTTTTCTTATACCAAATTTGTGAACAAAATTAATGTGTATATAATTTAAACAATTCCAATTGTTTATTTATTTTAAAATTATAACTAATGGATTGTGTTAGAATGTGTGTTTAATCTTCCTTCTTGCTTATTCTTTGGCAAGCTATTCACGTTGCAAGTCTGCTGCTACAGTACAGCGCTGAAAAGCACTTGAAGCTTAATCTCACAGTCTCTACACCATAGCTAGTGTTTTTTAAGGTCCATCAATTACTGCCGAAGCATGGATTTGTGGAGTAAAGAAGACTTTTTCTCTAAAGCAAAATGGATAATTATTTCATCTCTGGGTGGAATTATGTTGTGGGCATCAAGAACGTTACAATCTCCCAACATGCCGATACCAAAAGAACATCTTTTACACCAATGTCTTCATCAACCAGCCGGTCTCAAAACCCTAGTTTATTCATCACCTGGAGAACCATTAGTATCTCAAAATCCAAGCCACCGTTCATCTATCATCACTAATTCCCACAAGTTGTTATCACCATCATCATTCTTGACTACTCCATCTTTGCTTCCATCTAATTTGACTTGCTCTTCGTCCTGGTCCTGGGCGATGGACGATTTGATTGGAACAGAAAGTGGAGTTTGCATGAACTCAGACGAAGAACAAACTCTACAAGTGGATAAATCAGAAGCAATTGATCACAGTCATAAGTTTGGTAAGCGGCGCCGACGATGTTCAATGTCAAGGGAGTATCCACCACCAATCCCTTTACAGGCACGTACAGGAAATTTGCCAGGACACATGCCTTGGGTTTTAACCAGACATTATACCGATGGGAAGTTGATCCTAAAAGAAGAGAAAGTGATGCATCACCAGTACTTCGAAGCCTATAGGGAGAACGGTCGTCTTATCTTAAATCTTGTGTTCTTGGATGATACCATAACATCGAACAACGAAGAGCTAAAGCTAGAAGACCTCGAATTTATGAAAGAAGAACAAGAAATAGATGGCTACACACACAATGGGGAAGAGAAACCAGAAGAATATGAAGAAAGTGTTCAAGCTGACTCGAATAATATGGATAATATTAGAGAGGTGGAGGAGACAACACATAAAGGTGGATCGATAATGATAATGAACTCGCAGATGCCTAAAACGAATTTGGAAAATGGGGTGGAGAGGTATGGAGTTTTACGTACGTGTTTCACGTACAGGGGTAGGGAGATATCAGATACAAATTATAATTTCATCTGTAATGCGAATACTCAGGGTGAGACTGGTGGCACATATTTTACCCACTCAGGTTCAGCTCCTCTAGCTTTACCTGTTCGTCCATTGACGGCTGTTATGTAGCCTAATCTTCGCCTGATTAACTCTTAATTAATAAATTTATTAAACTAGCTAGCTAGAGAGGGGTTTCTGGACGCTCTTTCCATTGTGATGAAGGCATTTTGTGAGCTGTTTGATGAAGTAATTAAAATATAAAACAAGCTAAATACGAGCAAATTCCCCAGTTGAGATCGATGCCATTGTATGATGTTATGGTATAGGACCTGAATTTGTTTTCCTTATTATTTAACAAGTTCTTCATACAATGGGCTGGGTGGATTTAGTAGTTTTCTCCTACATTGAACCATCTTGGAGGCCCATATACAGGAAGTTGTCCCTGGCCAGATCCAGGTGGTTCAGTTTTGGGTTACATTTCTTTTTTTTTTTTTTTTTTTTTTTCAATCTTGTTGTTCGATTCATTACATAGATAATATTGAGTTGCAATCTAGTTCAAACTGTTCCCAGTCCATTGTTTCAAATATCTTTTAACATCCCATTTTAAACCCAGATTTTATTTTTATTAGCAGGGGTGTTTGGGTCGTTAACACATACATCAATTAATCTTTTAGGGTTTTGAAAATGTCTATTGAATAAGAAATCCAATGATTGTCCTTATTAGAGCTTAGAGGGACTCAAACTCACAAGCTCTTAAAATTTTCTTTTACTTTTTTATCATCATACCATCTAATAATGATTAAGTTTTAACCAGCATTGCTACTTGAGCTTTCCTACCAATAAAGTAACTTTCTTCATAGTTCATAAACAAGTGGTTATTTTCTTGTCTTTAATTAAGGTATGTTGAGGAAGGGAAACAATACAGCTAGCCATTGAAGCAAGTATGTGAGCAGGAATCTTTGGTATTATCTTAAAGAGAAGCTATTTGTGTCATTTCTCTTGAGTCAGTGCAAAGACGAGAGTCATTTAAAACCTATTGGTCTCTTCTCCTTTAAAAATAAATAAATAAATAAAAGTTAAAGACCGCCGGCGAATGGATCAAAGTAAGAGTAAAGAGGAAATTGAATTTGTGAAAGTTTAATTAATTAATAATGGGTGGAATGGAATAAAAGAAACCTCCGCGGTTCAAGTAAACACAAGGAACATCCCTTCTCTTCCGAGTTGTAGATTCCATTTACCAAAAAGGAGAATCAAGCAAGAATACCTTGTGCTTTAAGTATAACTGTTTACACTTTCCGCTTCATCCCAACACGATCTATCCGTCCACGTGCCATCGTCTCATTGACTTCAATGGTTAAATAATAAATATCCTAAAATACACGTCAACTCGTCAAGCACTCTAAACTTGACAAAAATAAATAAACATGATGATGATTGATGAGAGATTACATACACACAAACTGAAATTACTGATACGCACAGTTTCCATATTCATGTTACTCACCAAACATTTGTAACTCTAATTCTCTTCAGTTTCCCAGGTACCTATCTTTCCCAATTTCTTCTTCCATTATATGATCTGAGCAATGTGTGTGTCCCGCTTCGTTTTCTCCTCAAATTTTGGATCATCATTCATGCAATGCAATTATCTCTAATTTATCTGTTTTTTTTTTTTTGTTCGGTTGATTAATTCTTATGTGTGATATTGTTTGATGGGTAGACGCTTATTTTTTTTTTCATATTTATTATTAGATTTTTGGTGGGTTGTTTAACAAAGATGAGAGTGTGATCTTGACCGGTTTTGAAGAATTCGTGTCAGAATGATGTTACATAGTGCTCTGTGCTTAATTGTTCTTTGAGTTTCTGAAATTATCTGGGGTTTTTGTTTTCTTGAGTATTATATAATGGAGTTATTTTAATTTTCTGTTTTGTCTTCGTTTATCCTTTTTAACTAGGGGGAGTGATAATTTCGAGAGTTTTTGTGTTTCGTTTGCTATCTCTATCATGATTTGAAGATGTAATTATTTATAAATGGAATTCTAGAGTTCAATGAAATTCTTCTCGCGACATTCTCATTTAGACTGTTGTTTTGTTTATGTATGTATTGCATTGATGAACTCAAGTGTATTAGCTTTTCCAGCATTTTGACTAAACTTTTACTCACAAAAATTTTGGTATAATCCAGGGTTTCTTTAGATTGCATAATCTGAGAGTTTCTTGATGGGAGCTTTTCTCAGCCTTGCTAGTCCCAAGTTTAGAACAAGTGATTTCGGTGAGACCTCAAAGAATGAAAGCTGCAAGAAGCAAAAAATGTCACCAGACTTTACCCAGTATGGCCCACGACTGATTCCTAGTCTTCCTGATGAGTTGTCAATCCAAATTCTTGCTCGGGTCCCTAGAATTTGCTATTTCAACATGAAATTGGTGTGCCGAAAGTGGAAGGAAACAATTATGAACCCTGAACTGTTTAAAGTGAGAAAAGAACTTGGAATGAGAGAAGAATGGCTGTATATTTTGACTAAAGTAGAAGATGATACACTTTTGTGGCATGCTTTGGACCCTTTGTCGAGAAAATGGCAGAGATTGCCTCCACTCCCGCATGTTGTTCGTGAAGATGAATCTAGGAAGGGTTCATCTGGGCTTTGGACGTGGAACGTGGTTGGGCCAAGCATTAAAATTGCTGAAATTGTAAAGGGATGGCTTGGTTTGAAGGATAAGTTGGATCAAATGCCATTTTGTGGTTGTGCCATTGGTGACGTTGATGGATGCCTCTATGTGCTAGGTGGATTCTCTAGAACCTCAACCATGAGATCTGTGTGGCGATTTGATCCAATTTTAAATTCATGGAGTGAAGTGACTTCCATGTCTATAGGTAGGGCCTATTGTAAGACAGGCATTTTAAATGATAAGCTCTATGTTGTTGGAGGGGTTAGTCGTGGCCGAGCAGGATTGACTCCTCTTCAGTCTGCTGAGGTTTTTGATCCCTGCACTGATACATGGTCTCAAGTTCCAAGCATGCCATTCTCAAGAGCTCAAGTGCTACCCAATGCTTTCTTTGCTGACATGCTAAAGCCTATTGCCACTGGGATGACTTCGTACATGGGAAGATTATGTGTGCCTCAAAGCTTATACTCATGGCCCTTTTTTGTCGATGTTGGAGGTGAGATTTATGATCCTGATACAAATTCATGGGTTGAAATGCCAATCGGCATGGCAGAGGGTTGGCCTGCACGACAGGCAGGTACAAAATTGAGCGTTGTAGTAGATGGTGAATTATATGCATTTGATCCTTCTAGTTCTTTGGAGAGTGGTCAGATTAAGGTATATGATCAAAAGGAAGATGCTTGGAAAGTTGTAATAGGAGAAGTCCCTATATCTAATTTCACAGATTCTGAATCTCCATATTTACTTGCGGGATTTCATGGAAAGCTTCATGTTATCACAAAAGATGCCAATCATAAGATTGCTGTTTTGCGCGCTGACCTGCGTGATAATTTGGGTTGCTTGCCATCAAGCTCAGCTTCTCTTTCAGATGGCTTGTTATGTGAACATTCTGATTCACTGGTAGTATCAGACACTGTTGTTTGGAAGGTCATCTCCAGTAGGGATTTTGGGTCTGCTGAACTTGTCAGTTGTCAAGTTCTTGATGTATAGTGGCATGTCAAGCATTGTGGCAGAAGGTCTTATTGTAGTGTGGATCTTCAGGATTTGATACGAGCTCTATAGGTGGAAAGACTTCTGATAATTTTTCAAGTTGGGTACCGGCACAGTCAAGTATGTAATAATGTGTTCTTTTATACATTCAATTGTATCATGATGGGATAGCTGCTTACATGATTGCAAATTAAAGTTATTATGTCCAGAGACTATTAGAGAGCGCTTCCAATGTTCTTGTGTGTCACATTGCCTCCTCAGCATCTTTAGATTTAGTGATTTCCGTATTCAAATTACATGCGGTTGATTTTCAGATCTGGTAAGTTGGTTCCTTGGTAGTTTAAAGATGAATAATATGGCCTAAAAATTGGTCTAAATTTGAACAGATGTAAAACCTTGATTTCATAATTGGAGGTTTATAATGTTAATATTTGTTTTCTATTGAAAACATTTGTGTAATGTATAAATGTGAAGAACTATACCAAAAGTGCAAACCAAATAAAATAAACAACCCGTTTTACTTGCTCAGTTTCATTTATATTTGGAGATCTTTTCTATGTGTTACTTCTATATCAACTTAGCCTGCATATTTCATTGTTTTGTACAACATTAATCTGATCCTTTGTGGAACCTGCCTGATTTATGTAACTTTTAGGTTTAGACTTTTAATATTTAGCCTTTTCTGCCTGAAGCGGAAATAAGTTGGGCGAATCAAAAGCTTGTCCTTTAGATATATTATACTATTTAGTTTGCAAACTATTGTCTCTGGTGCTCAGCCATTTTCTTAAATCTGATGTAGTACATAAATAGAAGATTGTGGAGTTACTGGAAAACTGCTTTCTCCCCCTTAATAGGGTACAAATAAAGGCCCAAGTTACATAGTGGGGAAAGTTTAATGATTTACCTGGGGGAAATTTCATCTCTTCTGTTTGAATAGATTCACGAAATATTGACTAAAAAGATGTGCTATAGTGTTATATGGAAGTTTATACCATTGGAAGTTACAAGACTAGGTATATATTTGATCTCCCAAATGCTTGGTGCAAGTGAACTTATCTAGCTAGCTGCAATTTCCACTTTAGTTTCTTATGTACTACACTTTTAAGAGTATGGATGAATTATCATGCTTGATTGATTTACCAAGATTTAATTGGTTGTGGAATCTCAGCACGAACTATAATGCAGAAAGCAAGCCTAGCATAATAACATTTATACTTTTGAGTGTTCATCAGCCTTCTCATGGACAATTAACATTTATGTTGGAACAAATATTATGTTATGATTGTCTAATTGACATTGTACTTTTGAGTGTATACTCTGGATTCTAATAGAATTGTTGCTCCATATCAACTCTGCTGGAGTTGAAGATTTTAAGTTGTTGTGAAGCACTAGCTTTTATTATTTTGTTCTTTGTTTGATATCTTTATGTTGTTGGTCATTTTTTGTTTGTAAGTATGGATTCTAAATATTATAGCATTTTGTTTTATGACAATCATGATGTCAAATCAAGTTCAAAGTGAGAATTTTCTTGTTAGTGGGGTACCTAGACGGAAAAGATTCTTACTTATCACCATAACGGCTGCAGCAACTCTGCAGTAAATTTTTGCCTTCAGATATTCTCCTCTTAGAGCTGTTCAAAATCAATTGTCATCCATTTACGACTTGAATTTTACTCAGGCTTTTGTCAATGGGCAATGTAACAGCAGGTATTAATAACTAATGTGGAGGCATGCCAAATTTCAGAACTTGAGCATGGCTGAAAGACAGTTCTGCAACTTGTGTCTCCTGGTCTGAGCTATGCAGCGGTGATTTTTTTACCTTTGACCAATCATAACGTTATAGGGAATTATTACTTTTCACTTTAAATGAAGAACAAGGTAGAAGATATGGATGGACACTGTATATGACATAAATATTTTGCCAAAGAAGACAACAATAAAATGGGAGTAGATGGAAGATAAGCTTTTAATGTAAGAGTAAGATTAGATTTGGACAGGTTTATGCATAAGGGAAACGTTACAGCCTATTTTTCCTGTTTCTACCAGTAGCATGGATCATGTGTCGATTATGTTATGCTGTTTCACAGGAAGGACTAGAACCCACTGAGCCCCTTGTCATTATAGCACTAAATATCTTGTTATTATTGTTTTTTATTTTTCTTTTCAAAATTAAAAAAAAAAACTTTGCATAAATCTAAGACCTGATGCGTCTAGGTTAGATTCCTTCAATATGGTTGTGAAACATTATCATTATATTGTTGATGTTCTTATTCCTTTGTGCCACTTTGCTTTCCCTTTTCTCAGTGGCGAGCCACTGAAGCTAACAATGGTTAGCATTCTCTGGGACAATATGGTATCCTAGTAATTTTGCCAATTGTTTATAAAATATTAGTGATTAAAAGGAATGTATTAAGATGATCCTTAAGATGAAGTGTTCTTACTTGCATGTTATACATGGTTTACTGAGGCGTAATACTTTGCTAGATGTTATCTTTATTATTACCTGTTTCTCTTGGTGTACATTCGATTTAGTTTGTGCTTGAATTGGTGGTGGGTTCCAAGTTCCAACATACTGAAAAGTCATGAAGAAAAACAATGATGCTAGGAATGGTGATAATGGAGAATTGATGTTGAAAGCTGCCATTGTGGATTCTGAACATCCAATGGATGGAAACTTTTCAACAATCATAAGGATTGTATTTTAGCAACTTGAAGGTCTAGCATTTGATTGGAAATGTGGGGTGGGGAACTACAGTTAAATTCATAAGCAACAGAACATTAGACTTTACAAATAACTATCGCCAAGGGCTTCCTTTTCTGGTAATAATAGTGTAATTATCATTGTTGGTTGTTGCTGTTGGTTGGGGAGGATAATTCTTAACCTTTCAAGGCATTTTCAACTTCTCAACAGAAGCCTTGCCATTCTGTTGAGATGGGTCTAGGTCTGGTAGTTCTCAAAAATGTAAATTTTAGAGTGCTTTGGTTTGGATGAAAAACCTGTTAATTTACTTAGAAAAATAGAATGATTACTGGGAATCGATGAAATTTGTGACCATGATGTAGTGGTGGCGGAGATGATTTGCTTTTGTTTTCTTCTTTTAAAGAAGAATAAATGTCATATTAACGTGAAACCTTGCTTAGTTTTCACCCAAACGTAGAAAGGTCAATGAACCTGTCCATATACATTAAATAACTTCCTCAAGTCTCCAAATGTTTCAATTTCTTGTCATTTATTGTTCATGTTGAATTGTTCAAAATTTCAGCTGCCATATAAAATGTTCTCATTTTTGTTCCCATGTCATTGTTCCAGAATCAGTAGTTGGCCTTTCATGGTTTTAATATAAAGAAAGACTTGTTGGTGTAGGTAATGGGTATGGCGGCCAAGGTGAACTTCTTCCAAACAAAGTGTCAACCAAGCCTCATCTTATTTTATTATTACTCTTACTATTTCTGTTTTATCTAAAATTTTAAACAGTACTTGAAGTTGAACAGATTTTGTAGAGCATATTTGTCTTTCATACGTGTTTCGAGGTGGCCATCAATGTCGTGTAAAATATGTATGAACTTGAGTATATGCTCACACTTGCTAAAATAAAGCAATCCAAAAGTCATAATAGAATCAATTGAAAAACCCTTTATTTCTTTTGCTGCTTCTTCAGTTCATATACTGTGTTTTTGCACAAAACCAATTAGATAAGGCTTGGTCAAGAATAATTGCAAAGGTTCTAATGTCTCCATCATACAGCTCATTGATTCTTTTACAACATAATAAAAGATTTCATGCTTACTTGGTAATTGTTTTTATCTTCCTAATCAAACATATGATACAAACCTCAGAGAGTTGACTTGATCGAGAGAAATTTGCTCTATTTCTTAAGTTTTTGAGTTCAAAATGACACTTTACCACCCCCCTCCGTTAACTTTAACGAAAGAGGACAAAATGGTAAATTCAAAAACAGTTAAAGGATAATTGTGTATTTACCTGTAGTATATAAAGTCAAAAATCCCTGGTTCAAATACTTTCTTCCCCACCCCCCACCCCAGAATCCCCCACCCCCACCAAATGGCCGGAATCGCAACCGGCCTAGTGCGATTCGATCGAATCGCACAGCCTGTGATTCCGGCCAAATCAAACCCAAATCTTTTTGAGATAAAAAAACTGATAGAACTAAAGAGCAATAAGTCAAAGAGTTTTGAGATTTAAAAAAGAAAAAATTGTTTACCATTTGAAGAAACGAGCCATGTGATGAAGCAGATTATTTTGAAGCGTATTTTTAATATTGTCTCTGAGTTTGAATGTATAGAGCCAAGAAGTGATTAATTGCTGTAAAAGTTCTTATTTTCTTTTTCTGGGCAAAAAATCCCATCACAGACAAGACGGTTGCTTCTGTTTTAGAAATTTCGAATGGATCTCTTCCATTCACTTACCTTGGAGTTTGTATCTTCACGGATAAGAAAAAGAGAGTTTTTCTTCAACCCCTTGCAGATCAAATCTTGTCTATACATTATCGACTTGGAAAGGGAAGATGCTTTCTCTGGCAGGAAGAGCTAAACTAATCCAATCTGTTATCCAGTCCATGTTCCTCCATAGTTTTAAGGCATATAAATGGCCATTAAGTTTGCTTAAGTTTATCAGTAAGCGAATAATTTTTTTTTTTGTAGTTAGGAGATATGGATACTTGTTAAGGCATTTGTTTCAATCCAGATTTAAAGTCAACAGTTTTCAGTTCATAAGAACTTATTTGAAATCTTCTGTATGGCCGGGCATAAAGGAGTCTCTACCTATTATTTTCATGCATTGTAGATGGGTTGTTGGCATCGGTAGGCAGATTTTCAGTTTTTTCATTTTTTTAATTTTATTTGGATGATGTGTGTTGATTTGGATAAGGGTGGAGATTGTGTGAGAAGATTGTGGTGAGAAGGTCAACAAGGTGCAATTCTGGCGGAAGGAGAAAGAAGAAAGGAGGAGAAGAAGATAAAAGGATATTTTAGTCTTTGTACAGTTTATACATGTCAGATAACAAAATTTACTAACGAAACATAGCGGTGGGTGCGAAAGTGTCGTTTTGAAACTTAAGGGGTGGAGAAGGATCATTTTACCAAACTTTGGGTGGGAGTGTCGTTCTCCCTCAAACATATGATACAAACCTCACAGAGTTGACTTGACCATCAAAGATATTTGCTCTTTTCTTTGAGTTTTTTTATTCAAACCTTGGGGTCACCTACCACAATAACATTATAAAGGCGTTTGGTTTCGGGAATGCTGGATTACTGGGAATATTGGATTACTGAAAAGATAAATTACCTTGAAGATTACTAGGAATCTTTAAGAAAATATGTTTGGTTAATTGGTGGGTATGTTTATTAATATGGTTGGTTGGGAGGAATAAATTAGTGGGTATGCTAATTAAATTACTCAATTGTCCTCTAATTAAATATTATTATTATATTATTATTATTATTTGGATTACTATAACCCCTCTACATTTAAAAACTTAGCAAAAACAATCTCATAATAAAAGTTTGGAAAATCAACAAAACACCCTCGACCAACCCAGCCACAGCTAGCTGCCGGCAACCACCCTAGGCCGCCGCCAACCTAACGACGCACAGAAGGTCAAAAATGGTCGTCATGTGCTGATATGGCCATTAACGGCCATGTTTGTCGCCATCAACGACCATCGATTTGGTCGTTAATGGTCAGATTGATTGACGGCCAAATCTGGCCAATGGCCATATCGACGCACGGAGGCCATTTTCGGCCTTCCGTGCACCATTCCGACGACGACGACGGTGGTTACCGGCAGTAGGTGACGGCAGGTGGCTGGGGGTGGTGGCTTGGGTGGGCTGTAATTTGTTTTGAATTCAAGGATAATTTTGTCCAAAAAATTAATTAATTGGGGGTGAAATAGTAAAAGCTATATTCATGTAAATAAATTTAAAAATAAGGGCATTATTGTCCTAAAATTTTATTAATAAAGGATAAAATTGTAACAAAAAAAGATAACTCTGGTAATCTTATAATATCTAAGAAAATTGAGGTAATCAAAATACCTCAAATGTTACCAATAGTAACTACTATTGGTATTTGAAAATTACCGGTATCTTATATTACTTGACAACCAAACATGGTAATCAAGTAATATAAGACGATTTAATCCTAATAATCTCAAATACCTCATAACCAAACGTCACTTATGACTTATTTGGTCCTTTGAGTTTATAGGATATTTAAAGGACCCTAAAGATTAAATAAGGTGATCCTTAGTTATTTCTTCGAAGAGTGATGCTATGAGTACTAACGGATGGGTACTAATCTGTGTACTAACTAAAGCATAGTACCCGTACTATGCGTATAGTACGGGTACTATGCTTTAGTTAGTACACAAATTAGTACCCATTCGTTAGTACCCAAAGTATTATTCTTCTTCGAAAGTGCTTGTGTTACTAATATCAACTTGCACTAATTAGAACTAACAAAAAATATTAATAATTAATCAAACGTGATTTCCACTCACCACCTCTTTTTCTTTTTTTGATCGACCTTCTCACACTCATTCTCTGCACAACATTTTGCTGATTAGTTTTTTAATTTTGGAAGCAAAAGTTTCACCAATTTTTTGTTTTTAATTAATATCATAAAACGCTAAATAATCAGTAAAATGGGATGATTCTTATAACCTTAGGAACAAAACCACCTATCCTAAAAAAATAAAATGAAATAAATATAAAGAAAAAGTGGTTGGTGTGACATAATTAAAATAAAATAAAATGGGTAATGTAGTGAGAATGTCACTTTCCATATGATTAGATTTTTCTGTTAGTTTCATGTAAAAATCTAACTTGAAAAAGCTGCCATTTTGTTAGTTTAGTTTTATTTCTTTCTTTCTACATCAAGTAATTCAACAGGTTGAACTTGTCTGTCTCTTCGTTCTCTGTGTTAAACTAAACTAATCCTATACATTTCTGATGGCTTTCAGTTCCAACATTACCTTTTTCTTCATTGAAAATATTGTCTCTTTCATGGTTTTCTAATGTCTTCGCTCAATTTCCAGTAAATTTTTGGTAAATCTCAGTAAAATCTGATCTGGGTTCGTGAGATGTCTCAGTTCTTCCGCTAAAGATCCTTTCTTTCTTTCCCAAGAAAAGGCTTTGCAGTGAAAGATTGCTTTTTTTTTTTTTCAAAGAATTTGAGGTGGTGTGCGGAGAGTATTATGAGAGGTTGAGGTGGGTTCTTGGTTAGAAAATTGATTCATCAATGGCAGAAGAAGATTCGATAGAGCTTAAGTTCAGGCTTGCAGATGGCACCGACATAGGTCCAAGCAAGTATAGTCCGGCAGCCACTGTGGCCTCTCTCAAAGAGAAAATAATTGCACAATGGCCTAAAGGTTATACTTCTTTTTAACTCGTATTACTTCATTCAATCTTCAACTTTTAGATGACTGTTACAATGCTTTTGAATCGTTTATCTTAGGCTTTCTAATCCTTCATTAGAGATACGAAGGTTTTTCTTTCTTTCTTCTTCATTTTTTCCTTCAACTTTTTGTTCTTTTAATCTGGTAAACTCCTCTGCAGCCTGTATACAATTTAATTGCATTTCTTTACCAGTTGTTTTACAAAATTAGATGGTTTTTCCTCTATTTGATTCTTTTTATTTGCGTTTAGGTGATTAATTGAATCCTTGTCAGTTTGTTAAATAAAGATTGTTTTTGATGCCTTTGCTTCACTGATTGAAGAAAAGAACAAAACACTATATTTTAGAAATGCTGTTGCGGCTGTTATATTGATAATTTGCGAAGTCCAACATTGTGGCAGCATATTTATTCTCTTAAATGACGGATTTCGAATGCTTGTGTGATGAATTCGAGATCAAAGTTGTAAGCTTATTAATGATTTATGAGTAATGAATTGATTTCAACCTCTTTTAATTCTAGTGTGTTCTGGCCTTTCTTCTGCATGTTGTGCTCTTGACCACATATTTGTTTCTTTATTGGCAATGAGATTGACTTAAATTCCTGGGGAATTGCTATTTCAATTTGGTAGATAAAGAAAATGGTCCGAAGACAGTGAGCAATGTGCAGCTCATTCACGCTGGAAAGATACTGGAAAATAACAGGACGATTGCTGACTCTAGACTCCCAGTTGTTGAACTTCCAGGAGGTGTCATCACTATGCATGTTGTTCTGCGTCTTCCATTACCTGACAAAAACAGCAGTAATCCACGATATGCCCTGTCTTGTGATTTCATTTATCTTCTTTAATCCTATGAACAGTGTTATAGGCTTGAAATTTTGCATTTAGTTAGGTAGCTAGTATAGTACTTGCAAACCATCTGCCTTGTGTGATTGTTCTTACATAAACATCCATGATATTTCTATATATATGTAGCAATTAATCCTGAATAGCCATGTTCTTATAACAACATGGTAATGCCGATGGACCTTGATTCCCTGTGAACAAAAGAAGATTTCTAAATTTATAAAATTTTCTAACAACATGGTACTGCAACTCGCTCTTTTGCTCCATATTTTCATCTGAACACCTACCAAGCTTGCCTTAGAAATTGTGTTTAGAACCCTGAGAAATTGAAGAGGATTTTACGATTCTGGTAAATTTGTTCTACCCCAAGTTACAAATTAAGCCTGTAGTGAGCTAAAGCCTTTTTAGGAAAAACTCAAGGACACTTCCTCATTTATATTATTAGCGATAGTTCATGGATATGAAACAGCATGGTTTGGAAACACTGAAATAAATTATGGATGTGTATCTTAGAACTAACACCTGATGTACCTTTCTCAGATAAACTGCAGAATGATTTTCCAAAGAAGTCCAGGTGTTCATGCTCAATCTTGTGACTGCATGTGAAAGCTTCTGTATTGTTGTTAGAGCTTCTATATGTTCCCATTAGACGTTTACCAAAATACAGTCGGAAAATTCCTAGTGTTCGGGGAGTTCCAGGAATCCCAGGGGCTGCTGAAAGGAGAAGCTAGGAGGTCTTTGGTCAAGATGTTTATTCATTTGCTTAACCTTATGGTTTACTCAACTAAAATCCTTGCATTCCTTCATTGGTTGTGAATAAAACAAAAAGAAACAATAGGAAATCATAGGGGCGGAAAATTATCATTTCTGTTTCATTGGGGTGTTTATTGTAATTTGAGTGTTTTATGAAAGGGTAGAAGAATTATTGTTCACATGTAACTGTCATTATTTACGCACTGCTTAACGACTGTCAAGAGTTGCTGTGTTATACCTGATAAAATGCAACATATCACAGTTTCATTCTATTGTCTCGAAGCTGGGAAATGAGCAAACAAGGCTCCGTTATTATGGGACAAAAGGAATGGTGAAAATCATTAACACGGATAATTGTGAAATTGAAAGGCATGAAATGCAGAAAAAAAAAAGAAAAACAAACATATGGGTGGCAACGGCAATGATGTTTTCTTGCTTCTTTCTTCTTTCTCAGATTAAGTAGAACCAATTTAAAAAAAATTTGATTAACTATACAGCACAAGGGATGACACCACTGAGACTGCAAACGAGGGGATCGAAATGTTACAGAACTATACTTTTGGGATACCCAATGGTTTTAAATATTAGGCATAGATATTTTATTTACACAAATTACAGCTGTTTAGATATAAGCATCCCCACCAAGCTTGAAAATTTTAGCACTTTGCGGGTGGTCAGTGGCCAAGGATAATCAGTCACCGTAAAGATAACAATTAACATTGCCGGCAAGCAAGGTGGAAAGGCCAACTTCTATACTCAGGTAGTGTGTTTTCCAGAACTTGGTATATAAGCCATCATTTCAGGTTCGCTACTGTGGTTGTGAGTCTTGTGACTCGCCAAGAGAGGCTGATGAGTCCCGAAATAACGTTTGTGATCTCTTGGACGCCCGAACATTCTTGAGAGTCATCATCAGTTTCTGTCTCTCTCCTTCAACTTCTGCAAATTGTAGACTTAGCTGAGAGTACCGGTCGTGCATCTCTCTAAGTTCAGTCTCCACGGTGGCATACCTACCCTTTACATTCAACATGTCTTTGATTAGCTCATTGATGTCTCTAAAGCTTTGGAAAATTGCTTCCTCATCACTGTGTTGCTTCAAGAAAGAGCTGAACCACACAAGAATTAGATCTATTTAGATGTTTCCTCCATTCGGCTGGATTTTAAAGAGAATTAACATTGTCCATAATGTAGGGAGGTACTGTATTGAAAGAGATGGCATACCTCTGAAAATGGATGCTTGATTTTTTCTTTGCTTGCAATGCTTCAGCAAGCTCAATTTCCAATGCAAGTACCCTTTCTATTGCATTTCCATTGCCTGGGCTTTCATTGAAGAGAGGGTATATGCTTCCCAATTCTTCGTTTGCCTGAGGAACCAGCAGAATAAGTAACCAGAAGAAGTGTACTAGGATAATTTGTGGCAATTAGCAATTTAATTTACCTTATTTAACTGCATCAGCTCTCTCTGTAAACCTGGAAATTTAGGATCAAAATTATGATCACCTTGTGAAACAAGTGAATTCTCATTTTTCATCCTTTCCAACTGCAACCAGGAAATAAGAGGGGATTAAATTGCCATCAGGCATTATTCCAAGCAAATTGCATAACAGAATCCAAAAACTATACGAAATTTTTATTATGTATCATATCTCTTCTTATGCCCAACAACTGATGATATAGGACTGACTACTTGGCATAATCTCAGTTGTATTCTCATTACACAGTACACATACCTCCTCATTTAAGTGATCCATGCTAGACTTCAAACTTTGGATTCTAAAATGATCATTGACAAAAGCTAGATCGTTCATGTCATTTGGTTGCCGGTTCTCTTGATTTACTAGTGCAAGATTTGAAATTCCATTTACACCACTGGATATGAGAACGTCCTGATAAATGAATATGCAAATAGTTAGATTTTTATATTTTTTTTGGAAGGAGGGATAAGAAAGAAACCCCTACAATTGTAAGAAAGTCTGCATGCAAAATGAATGAATACACAGCAGATGAATGACAAATGAAAGTAGAAAATCTTTTACACATATTTAAACATTCATGGACCTTTGTCATAGGAGATAGGATAGATTCTAAAACAATGTGAACACATAATTAATTACTTAAAAATCACGTGCAAATTAATATCAGTTCATGACCAGAAATACAAGCAAGTGCTAAAGCATCACTTAGGAAGATTAATTTTGAGCACCAAGAGAGCTTTTAAATGGATATTAAACTTTCTACAATGAAAGAGCAAGAGCTCACTGTCTTAGTTATACAAAAAATTATATCTGAGTCTTTTACAGATCAAGGAAATATCAATAGTAATTTTAAATGCTTTATTATTGATAATTTCTTCTGGGCATTAACGTAGTGAATTTAATGTTGCACCTTAAGAGTGAGAGAAATGCAGCCAATCTTAACTTTTATTTTATATTGAGGGTCAGTCCCTCAATATATTTTTTCAGCCAACAACAGAACATTCAAAATTTATATGAAGTCACAATAATACATATGCTACATAGAAATTTACAACCTGTATGCAAAAACAATACAATAATGATGAGACAAAAGATCAGTTTGAGGATTACCTGCTCTGCTTGCACATCAATGAGTGCACTTGAACAGTTACCTTCAGCAATAGGAACCAAGCTCATGTTTTCTGAATCTTCACAATTTACTGTACTATCTTGTTCCAAATACTTGACATTCATGTCCGCTGTTGGAGCATTACTACAACCCTTGTCTGCATTCACTCTTCCATGGCTTGAAGTGCCCACAATTTTATTATTTTGGTAAATATTTCTCCCAACATGCTCATTTGACATGCAATTTTCATTGTGCAACCCATCCTTTCCTTGCTTCTGAACGTCCGAGGTGGAACTGTCGAGTAATTCTCTCATCATGGTGAGGTCAACAGACATCTGAGTCTTTTCCTCATTGCATTCTTGCAAAGAAGCTTCAAGTTTTTGTTGTTCCAGTTTACAGCACTCAAGGCTTATTAATGAACATTCAAGTTCAGACTTCAACTGGTCATAAGCATTTGTTTTTTCACGCTTCTCAGAGATTAGAGATTGTAACTCAGCCTCCAATTCCAAGATTTTCACTCCCAACTCTTCATTTTTCTTTAAGTGAGAAGCTTCAGATTTTTTTCTATTCTCAATTTCATCAATAGCATCTTGTAATTTCCAAAGCATTTCCTCGCTATGCTTTTTTGAAATAGACAGCTGAAGTTTTAGTTCTTGCAGCTTTGTTTCATGTTGTTCTTTAATAAAAGCGATCCTCAGAGACTCCTGCATAGCAGTTGCTGGTCCTTCAGACACTTTTTTTTCACGAAGCTGGATACATTCAGCTTCAGCCTTGTCTTTAAGCTCCCTCAGATGGATGGACAAGTTTTTGAATTCCTCTGTCTTTAAAAGCTGTTCAGAGAGCTTCTGAGTAAGCTCCTTGCACTGATTCTGCAATGTCATAAGTTCACCATTATATCCCTCCAACAAGGTTACTTGAGCACATACTTCATCCAATTTAGCTTCAAGTACTAAACCTTTGATATCCAGCTCCTCTCTGGAGACTATCAGATTATCAATCTCTTCTTTGGAACTCACCAACAAGTGTTTCAGCTTTTCAACTTCAACAGCAAGCTGGTTTTTCTCATGATAACTAGCCTCCACACTTACAGCCCTATTTTTGTACTCTTCAAGCTGAGCTGTTTTATCAAGCAGTACTCTGTTTTCAGCGATAGAAGCATGCATCTCAGATCTTAGTGTGTCAAGACTTGTCAACAATCTGGCATTCTCTTCATTGCACTGTACTTCACGAGCAAGACAATTACTAAGTGCATCCTCTAAATCAAGATTCTTGATCTGAAGCTCAGAGAGAAACCTACCTTTGGAGTGTAATTGCTGAACAAACTCTTCAACCCATGCCTCGTATTGAGTTCTAGTGAAAATGAATCTCACATCTGCAGCTACTAATAGTTCATGCATTTCAGACAACTTAGATTCCAGACTAGTGACAGAAGAAGATTTGTCACTAGCAGTTTTAAGGCATCTCTCAGAGTGCAACAAAAGATCGCAGACCCTTGATTTCTCCAATTCTAGATCTGATACAAGTTGCTTGAGATGGACCAGTTCAGACTTATGCCGCTCAAAATCTTGCAGCTGGTTGTGCTTCTCATCTAATTGGGAAGTAAGATCCTTAATTGTATTCTCGAATTCATCTCTCAAGCTCCTTTCATCATGCAGCTCATTCTGAAGAGACTGCAAAGTTTCTTTGGAAGTGTTGACATCCAGTGCAAGCTTAGCAGATTCCTCAGATTTATTCCATGAAGAGAGCATTAAAGCTTGGTATTCCTCAGTTAGTTCTGCTATTGTCAGCTTACTCCTTCCAACTGTGCTCTCTAAGTCTTCTCTCAAGCGTCTCTCACCATGCAGTTCATCATGAAGAGATTTCAGACTTTCTTTCAAAGCCTTGGCATCCAATGCAAGCTTAGCAGATTTCTCAGATTTATTCTGTAAAGACACCATTAAAGCCTGGTTTTCCTCAGTTAGTTCTGCTATTGTCTGCTTATTCATTTTAATTGCACTCTCTAGTTCTTCTCTCACACTTCTTTCACCATTCAGCTCATCATGAAGAGATTGGAGTCTTTCTTTGAACGTGTAGGCATCCAGTTTAAGCTTAGCGGATTCCTCGGATTGTTTCTGTAAAAAGACCATTAAAGCCTGATTTTTCTCAGTTAGTTCTGCTGTCATCTGTTCACTCCTTCTGAGTTCCTCAGTTACAATCTCTAATGCCAAGATTTCTTGAACAAAGTCCCTGTTCTTAGAACCAAGTTGGTCCAGCTCAACTTCAAGATGGTCAAGATCAGAAAGAAGTTCTCTATGCTGTTGTGCATGGCTCTCTTCAACTTCTGAACTAACCTTTAGTTTTTCTGCAATAGTTTCAACTTTTAACTGAAGATTTTGCACCAGGGCATTAGAAACGTCAAGTTTATCTACCATATCTCTTATATCATGTTCAAACTTCTTCTTTATCAACACAATATCTGATTCTGCTTTGCTTAAAGAGAATTGAGCTCTATCTTTTTCATCTATTAGAGCATTCTTCTCTTCCATGATTTGGTGAATCTTCTGACACGCATTTTGCTGTAGCTCTTCTAATTGCAATACAACACCTTGTAAGTCCTTGGAACCCAAATCCTGAACAACGGATTCTCTACAGAGAGACAATTCACTAAAACTCTCTCCATAAGATGACAACAAGTTCTGCATTTTGTTTTGCAGAAAATTGGCAGAATTCTGCATGTTTTTGTTCACAGAAGCCAGCTCATCAAACTCAGTTTTCACAGTTTTAAACTCTTCCTGCAAAGAGGAA